TATATATATAAATATATATGAATATATATGAATATATATAAATATATATATGAATTTATATAAATATATATATGAATATATTTAAATATATATATATATATATATGAATGAATATATATAAATATATATATATATATATATATATATATATAAATATATATAAATATATATATAATATATATAAATATATATATATATATATATATATATATATAAATATATATATATATATATATATATATATATATATATATATATATATATATATATATATATATATATATAAAAGTAGACCTAGATGGTGCGCGTTATTAGTAGCATACAGCCGCAAAAATGGGACACTTTCTAAAACAACTTTCCCAAGTATCCCATTTTTGCGGCTGTATGCTTCGTCGTCAACTAGCATTAGAGGAGTTGGAGCTGTAGCGCCTGACGTAACGTGAATGAAGACATTGCCTAAGTTGCTCTATCTCCTCGTCTGAGTCCTGTGCCTGATGTCGGTAGGCACTGGGTTATGGAGAACCTGCACGCAGACCTTCCTGCGTGTCCCTTACGGGGCTATAGTAATGGCGGTCTCTGCGTGACGAACGGAAAGTAACTTGGTTGCGTGAACGACTGTAATACCTTGCTGGGGAGTAGGCCCGTGTGCGGATCTCGAGCGCTCACTATTGGAATAACTTCTGCTGCTGCGTCCACCGCAAGATGGACTTATAGATTATGGATATCTGTCGCACAACGATGAGCGGTAGCTCCGCCTATTACGATCGTAGTGCTGTCTGCGCGACCTGTGAGGGCCGTGCCGACTTGGACTGGATCGTCTGAGTTCTGCTCGTGGACGATGTCTACACAGAAGCGCGGAGTGATTGCCTGAACAACTTCTACATGGTGGACGGCGACAATGGCGACGAGAATGACCTTGGCTCAAACATCTCCAACAAAGATGAGACTATCTCGCGATTTCGTGCGAGTTTCTACTGACATAGACGAGTACATGCCCGTGTCTTATGGAAACATGGTCCACAAGAGGCGCAACTTGGCTGATGGTAAAATGGAGATCGCGAACGTGATCCTGATCTTCGATGTGTGCGACCACGATGAAAGCTAGGGAATAACTATTCTTCAACGTAGTCATGCCCTCGCACTTTTCTCTCAAAGCGATGTTGTGATCAAGAAGGTACATGATCTGCTGGAGGTTCAAGTCCGTCCCAGAGTATAATTCGACGTCGTGTAGCTATTGTTGGATGTCGGAGGGAAATTTACTGTGAATCAAGTCGAGTATCGGAGGGACAGTGCGAAAGTCTTCGTGTTCCCGAACACCACCGAGAAAACCCGAGGCGCGAAACCAAGTGTTGCGAAAATTTGCTCCTGACTGACCTGCTTGCGGCAGTGATTGTAACTGTTTGCGCAGCATCGCACGGTTCTTATGCGGCCGATCATAGCGCCTTCACTAACTCGTAGTGATTGCACTCACCAGGGTCGAGATCTTGGAGTACAGCGCTAGCGCATCGCCCTTGAGCACTCTTTGTAGATAGAGAATTTATGCGCGAAGCTGATGGTGGTGTCGTTGTGTATTGCCATCTTGAATGCGCGTTAAAAGCGTGTGACCCAAGAAGGGCTCAAGAATGAGCTTTCCTAGCTGGATCGCAGGATGATGCGACATCTGCTGATTGGCGAACGTGAGAGGAACCTATGACCGTCGCACTTTGCGATGGCATCTTTCTGGGAGAAACTTCAAGAACAGGTACCTGCGTCGGATGGTTGAAGGTTCCATAACCAGCTACTTCCTTCGATCTCTCCTGCGAGGTCCTGCGTCGTCCTCCTGTCGGGTGTTCATTAGCTTCGCCCGGAGAGTTTTGTGCCTTCTCCAAGTTGGTTTGGAGTGTCTATATTACACTCTCTGCAATGACTATTACACCCGCTAGCTTAGACTGTTGCATATAATATAGATAAATTGTATTATCAATCACCGGATCATTTGGACCACTTATTGGGGCTATGAAGTCTTTTCTCTTACGGCATTTAGATGTTGATGCTGATGTTCGACATGTGTACCTTGGGCGTTTCTTGACGGCAGTCAAGAAGCTGGCACTCGTGGGCATACAAAAGCAATTCACTCATCTGCGAAGTGATCTGATCTTGCGGTATCTTACCTTGAATTGTCTCTGATGCCGTTATGGGCCTTCGTCAGCATGGTTTTGTACGCATTGATTGTTGAGTTGTTCTTTGCAACGACAGTCTCAAACACAAATCTAAAAGGGAAAAGGTAAATAAACGCAATGCTGCGAGGATGGCTCTGGCCAGGAACCTCTTGCACCGACAAACAACGATGGAGCTGCCCTCATGGAACTGTTATGAGTATGCGACGAATAGAATCAGCAATAGAATCTGCGGGCAGGAGTGTAACCCCTGAGGTACGACCTCGGTCGCTCTGGTCTCACCCAGGCGACTTAGCGGAACAACCGGCTCGTCGCTAATTGGGATGCATGAGAGCGGCATATCGTCTATCGTCGTGCAATCTCGTCCCCCGAGCACTCCTCCATGCAGCTGGTTCCAGCGTTACGCACAGTGCCCCGCACGTACCTGAAAGCGGTGGTGCAACAGGATAATGGCTCCCGCCCCCTGGTCCTTCAGGTGGGTAACGTGTTTCGCATGGCCACCGGTGATAATCCGGCGACTATGATCCACACGAGACGACTAGCTTGGTAAGATGGGGCCCCTCTCTTCAAGGCGTCCTCTGTCATCCTGATTATGCGAGCCGCTCCGGGAGGGGACGCCTGCATTCAGCTTCCTTGGACGCCCATCAGCTCGACAGGTTTGATCGCTAGGGCTATACGTGTGTTGCCACACGCCTAACTCCACTCCGATGCGCCATGTCGCGGAACGGGGTAGTCGGGGTTATCCTTGCCCGCGCTGATGTTGTAGCCTTGCCATGCATCTATGCGGCCGTAAAGTGACACCCGCAAATCGCAGAATATAAAAGAACCTAGGAAGCGTGGACACTCCAGTGAAGATGTTACGGCCCTCATTACCTTGTCCCACTGCATCTGCGAATCCACTACCTCAACCTAAACCGTATGTGCGTATTGGTCTTTGAAAATGAACTTCTATTCATGAAACACTACTAGAGCTACTGAGAATGCAATATCAAAGGCACTTGCCTGACCAACGATCATCAAAAAGAAGAACCCAAAGAATCACTAACTTCATCTTCTTACATAAGTAAATGCGAAAAGAAACCTACAGACAAGCTCCTGCGTCGCTAGAGACTCCGGCAACCGCTACCCTCTGTGAAGGGGACGAGCACGGTGTCCGCGGACGTGTGCCACGCACGAACCGTGTGTCCCGGCGGCCATGAGTTCCCTAGCCTGTCCTGGAGGTTCCAAGATGCTCGCTGCCTCCTCGAGCTGCAGTCGAACTTAGCTGCCCCTCTGCAACTAGCAGCTCGCACCCCATCCGCCATCTTCTCGCACTCTGGAACTTCTCCTTCTGTCCAGTCCTAGTAGCGCGATGACCCTGGTGTCTGCGATCCAAAGTCACCTTTGTGGAAGAGGCCGGTGGACGACGACGATTGTGACGATGACTATGCAGAGGAAAGACTCAACCGCGCGATATTTTGACATGGTGAGGAGTGGCGAGGTGTTGAGTGCACACTTAACGCGGCGCCCAGTGCCACGTGTCAATCGATGCGAACGGCATGCAAAGTGATTGGTGGAAACCGTACTGCGCGTCGAGTAATGCGCATGCGATGTGATAACGGCCTATGCGTAGATTTAAGTCGTGGGCTTCACGACACTATACATACACCAGGGGGACGGTACGAGCGTGCATCTGAGGATGCGCGCGGCATATTGCGCAGCGAAGTNTGATAGGCGCCAAAGTCGTTCAAATCATTACGAACTTTGCCGCGCAATTTGCCGTGCGCATCCTCGGACGCACGTTCGTACACATACCCCATACACCACCACCATTCTGAACGGAAGTGGGGATGATGGGGCGCATTCCTGAGACGGGACCGATCAACGCCAACGGCTCTATTTTTACCCCTGCTGTTACTTAGTGGAAACAGTGGTCTTCCGAATGATAACCAATCAACTCCATCCTCAATAAATTTCCACAATGGCAACTATTACATAATTATTGAACTGCATTTATTCCTCTGATAATTTATTACGATCGGATAAATAACTCTTCATATCATGAACACATAACAGTTGTGGTCCATGGTACCTTCGACGCAGTACCTAGAAAGGGAAAATTTGATTGCACAGTGGAACCGTTTTGTAGTCAGAAGGCGTCTTGAATAGTTGAGGTCAAGTCGTCTATGAAATCATACCTGTCGGAGTCGGCCTGATAGCTAACTGCTCCATCCACGCACAGCACAGTGAATGACTGGTCAGGGTAGAGAGCGACGAGATCTTGGTAGATGGCCGTTTTCACTGCTGGCAGCTCCGTGCTGTTCATGTGCTGAGATACGATAGTATGGGATCGTGAGAAAAAGTCGCTGATAAACAAAAGGGCGAGTGAGAGGAAAGGGACATTCAATGAATTAAATTGCTAAATTTGTTAGTTCGGGAGAAAACCGCGCCCCAGATTCACTTGCAGTCGGCCCCACCGCGAAAGGCAGAAATTGCTTCTGTTTAAGCTTTTCCTTTTCATTGAGTCACAAACTACAGAAATATTTCACGCACTGCAGTACAGTTACGTTGAACACTTTCCTTCCGAGTAATTCAGCTATTAACTTTTCAGTTCTACTAACTTGAAAATCAGAGTGCAAACATCAGACGACATGAACATCATTTTCTCGCTGCTCATAGCACGCTTCCAATTATGCCTGCTATTGCTTTTTCTGAGCATATCTATCAAAAACTTCAGGGCAAGTAAAAATGGTGGGAGGAGCGTTCTCGCAGTGGGCTGTACTTACCAAACAAGGTCATGACTCGATTCAACGAAAGTGTAGGCTCCAGAAAAATGTACGAAGTGAGCAAGGCGTTATGCGTGCTAGGCACGCGTAAACATGTCATACTCCGCCCACAGTGGGTAAGGGCTGCATTCATATGTTAGGTACTTTTCGAAAAGATTCATAACTCTGTTCAAAAACATTCTATAACGGTGAAAGCAAGTGGTGAGAGCCCGTAGAGGAAATGTGGTCAGATCCCTGAAAGGGCGGGCCTGAACTGAGGTGGGCGGGGCCAAGAGCAAGACTTCATAGCATTGTTTAAAGATGTTCTAGAACGAGGGAAAAGAGTGATTGGGCACAGTGGAAGAAGTGGAGGTCGTCCGCTCTGCGCGTCCGTCGAAACAAGATTACCCCGCTCTCCGCACGCGGAACAGCCCACGGAGGTTTCGAGATGGGATTACAGCGGCACAAAGTGGAGTAGAGAGAATGGTTTAGATTCTGTGTTATCTTCACTTTCAGCTGATTGTCGTGGACCAAACGCAGGTCGTATACCCCACTCACAAACAGCCGTGGCGTCCGTCAAATATCGCAGACAAACGGCTGCGGAGTTACTTAGTTATGATGGATGCGCGGAACGAAGCGCACCCGAAAAGGATGTAGTCGGATTCTTGGAGTGGGCCGTGCTTGCACTATTCAGGGAAGGATCCCAAGTCGAAGTGACCATGTGAGATGAGACCTACATTGCTGCACGTGCTTTGGATGCTAAGTTCAAATCTGCTTCCCAAATTTGCCAAGCGTTTTTCTGAACGGAATATGGGAGTAGTTTCATTGAGCTCAACATAAGAGAACTTAAATTACATGAATGTGCATGTTTTACCGCCGGCGATTTGGTGTAGTGGTAAGCGTAACGTTTCATGGGCGAGTGGCTAGGGTTAGGGTTTTGTGGTGGACGCAATTTTTGCATTATATAGAATTCTCCCCTTAAATACAAGAAAATGCTCTCAGGGTGATTTTAACACGTTTTATGACCTTTTAATGCTTTGCTGATACCTTCCCCTACCTAACTACCTGTCACCTAGTGAGAGACTCATCCGTGCGCAAAATTTGGAGGTCTGTGCGAGTAAAATGCATGTGATGAGCAATGATGATGCTAGAGTGGGTGTTAGTGCTGGAGGCTGCGATGGTGCGTAGCAGCTACGGACTTACCAACTCCGGTACTGTTGATAGTGGACTCGAAGACCAGTAAGCTATTCGGTGCACCTTACCTCCACAAAAGCAGGTGGTAGGGAATGACACCCTGCTCGGGGCTACCACGAGACTAATACAGCCGATGGAAGCTTGTTTCTTGTTTCTCTTTGTATGGTTAGATGTACCACCACAGATGAAATAGCTCATGATCTCAACTTTTGCGTGTATTCACGGAACCCCATTCTTCGCTTACTATTGCTCGTCTACTTTCAAATCTATGCGACTAGATTTAGGAAATTCCTCTTTCATTCATGGGCTGCTTAAGCACTCACCCGGTTGACTCTGAGACGCCTACATAATTCTGTTTTCTTTCTGATTTGGGGTCAGTAAGTGTAAAGCAACGGACTGTGACGAATTCCTTTTTCATCCATTGCACCCAATGTAAGAAGCCTCTTTGCTTCAAGCATTTCGTGCTAGAGTATCACATTACTTCTAATGTGGCAAAAGTTATCCTTCCGTTAATCTAGAGTGCATGGGCATGCGAGTGAAACTGAAGTATTAGTCTATATAGATGATTATCACCAAAAGCATTAAAATGTCATAAAACGTGATAAAATCACCGTGAGAGCATATTCTAGTCCTTAAGGGAAAAGTTCTCTATGATGCAAATATTCCGTCCCCAACAAAACTCGAACCGATGTTGCCAACTACAGGCCGATCTGCTTGACTAGTTCGATTAGCAAGGTCATGGAACGCTTAATATGTAAAAGAATCAGTAGTTTTCTTGAAGAGAACAAGTTGTTGCACAATAATCAACACGGCTTTTGTAAAAACAAATCCACGTTATCTGCTTTGCTATCCACTATTCCCTTGTGGCATAGAGAAGTTGACAAAGGAAACTTTGTTTCGGTCTGCTACGTAGACTATGCAAAGGCCTTCGACTCCATCTCTATCCCACTTTTAATCAAGAAGTTGGAGGCGTATGGTATCAAGGGTTGCCTTCTACGGTTCTTGAAATCCTTCCTCAGTGGTAGGGTTCAATCAGTGCTCATAAATCGGTCACATTCGCACTACTATCCCACCCCTAGTGGTGTGCCTCAGGGCACTTGGCCTTTAATGTTTATTATATACGTGAACGACCTAGTCGACTCAATCCCCCCAGGAGCGTTTTGCAGTTTATATGCTGACGACTCCAAAATATTCACCATTAATGACTGCAATAAACTCCAGGCAGCTATAGACTGCGTTGAGCGCTGGTCTAATAAATGGGA